TCACTGAAATGTCTGTTTTAAACTATAGAAAATTTGCTTTTTTTCATAGTATCTGACGTCATACAAATTTGCTGCATATTGTTAGAGTGCTAATATAGCATTCACAATAGCTGCTCAACAGTCACTCAGAAGAGTCCATCAGCTTGCAGTTGGGCTGATGACATTTTATGGTGGAAGCTGAATGGATGGAATTGCTCCAAAGCACAAAACAATGGCCAGAAAGTGTTCTTGTTTTCATATACCTATTTTCTATTCCTCAAGCACCAAATGCTCTGGTCGCTGAGCTCTACTGTTTCTAGGCTTCTTCCTGAATAGTGACTTTGCAACTGGAACTGATCCATGCAACTCCAGGATTTTTAAAACTGGTGTCTCATTCAGTTTTCTTTATTTTTGAAGTTCTTGAGCATTTATCAGTGGTTTAATGTCTCAAGAAGTGAATTTGAATTTGTCACCCAGGAAAGCCTAAAGTGTGTCAATATGCAGAGGATGGGCCCCCAAATTGCGGGACTTTTCTGAGAAAAGGATCTGTAGGCAATGAAAGGTAAGGACATATTAAATGGCTGTTAGGTATAGTACTTAAGTGTTGATAGCTTGTTATTTACGTAAAGAAAAGGCAAAATTGGTCACTCGTGTGTAGTGCTTAGATTAAATATAAATGCCTCTCTATCTCTCCAGCATCCTTTTAAAGTCTTAGTAATGCTTTTATCTGTTTTATTATTAAACATTTTATATGCTTTTACCTCAGCCTTGCACGAAGGAAAGATCACATGTAGATAAGGAGCTAACGCTCCATTTTTTTCATTTCTTGGGTGAAAGTTGAAATGATGTACTAGAATATATAGACTGCTGAAAACTGTTATATGCAAAATAAATATAACAACAATCATAGAATCACAGAATTTCTCAGGTTGGAAAAGACCTCGAAGATCATCAGGTTCAACCGCAGTGGACTAGTGTAGGAGCTGTTAAAGATGGAATCTTTGCACAAGGAGCTGTTAAAGATGGAATCTTTCAACAACCAGTGCTAAGTAGTTTAAGTTCTCCAGTACATAATACATACTGCAACATGCCTGAAATGTGAGAGTATTGTAAAAGTTTAAAACATCTACTTGCACTACTGAAATCCCTTTTTTTTTATTAGAGGCTATTTAGGCTTCTTAGGAAGATGCTGATTGGCTACGCACTCCGAAGGAAACTATTTCTCAATTTTAGGCTGTTTCTTTGGAGATATGGCTGCTTTATTTAATTATTCTTCATATAGGTATTACAGTTTGTCAACAGCATTGATGCTTAAGCTTAAAAATTTTTAATTCAATTTAATTTTTTAAGCTTAAAAAATTGATGCTTAAGGCTGTGCGAGTACCTGACTCAATGTGATGATGTACCTGTGCAGTGATGTGAGTTTGCAAAACATTGTATTCTGAATACCTTTTATCAGAGGTATTGTATGTCCATAGATCTGTGGGTGGAATATATTGATAGCATGAAAACAGATCTTGACATTGGAAAAACTGAATATTGTTGTATCATTTCTTTAATATGCCCTTATCGTTGGCATTAGCAATTAGGTTATTCTAATTGTAAATAAACTCTTAATTTTTGTTAAATTCTTCTTACCATGAGAAAACTATTGACTCATTCTACACTAATTACACAAAATTATTGATGCTTTTTCTTGGAATTTGGGCAATTACTTTAGTAACTCCAAGAATACATTAAAATGAACAATTGAAAAATAGTATATAATGTCCTTATGAGCCTGTTTTGTTTTTTTTTTTCTCCAATTCTTTCATCTTTTCATGATCTTCACCCTTAAGATTCTCATGGCTCTTATGAGAAAAGTAGTGGCAAACAACAACAACAAAAGAACATGAGGACTTTGTGAAGGCATAAGCTAGTGTAAATGGGGGTGTTTGAAAAATGAAAAAAAAAAAAAAAAAAAAGTGAAATTCTAGGTCTTTTGTATTGTTAATATTCATTCTTTAGTCAAGAGAAAAATTTCACTTGAATCTGTGTGGAGTTCTTCCTGAGCAGAATTTCTGGGGTTTGCTCCTTTAATGAGGACTAAGTAAAAATCATTAATGGAAACAGAAATAAAAGTACTGAAGATAGTGCCCGTACACTATACACTTAAGTTTACACTGCTTGTACGTTTAAGCACAAGATAATACAAAATAAGGTCAGGGGAAATCATCCAGTATGTATCCCAAAAGATATCTGATACATCCCACGACAGCAAAGCCCTGTTTATTCAAAATACTTTGGGAACATCAAAACATTTGGATAAACAGGGCTTCAAATAATTGAGGGAGTTATTGTATAAGTAATTCACACCAAGGGACATAACCTAGATTCAAAGGAGAGAGTTTCATATCAAGGGGTTATAGATAAATGGGATTTTAGTCTATATGAACAGATGAAATAAACAGCATTTGATTATTAAGGAAGAAAGAGGTGTCCAAATATTTTTCTTTTCGAGAAGATTTGAGAATGAAAGATCAAAGTTGCTGCAATAGGTCACACAGCAGAATACTCTTACGGAATCAAAATAGCAGGTAAATAAATTACACCAAAAGGGTTTGGATTTTCTTGTTTGTTTTTAAATTCACTGACCTCCTGGTCAGGGTCATATGAATGAATTATTTTTGCTCTTATTCCAGCCATGACACTGGCATATAATTTGCAGCAGAAAGTAGGGATCTGTAGTATTCACAGAACTGTTAAGTTATTTTCCCCAAAACACAATGGAAGTAAACTGCAAAGTATGCAAGTTGTCTTTTATGGGCAATACTGTCCGAATGCTCATTTTTCTCTTTATATTGTCACCCAGACATGGTTCATCCACATACAAACACCTCATCATCTCCAACCAAAAACCCTCTAAAATACAAATTTTAAAAGCTGTTGTGTGTGAAAGATAGTTGGCAATGCATGTTACTAATATGATTGTATGGATAATTTGGCAATTTGGACAAACTGACAGCCCTGCCAGGAGCCTGCTCCTCACACTGCGATGCCTCACCTCGCAATACCCTGGCCAGGTGAAGGAAAGCCTTTGCTGCACAACACATGTGGGAAGAGTTCCAGAGATGTGTTCTTGACACCTGGTTGCCCTGTTGAAGATCTCCTGATGTTTCTGAGCCTCGTGCTTCCAGCCTCTGAAAGCGTTTTGCCTGCAGCCCTCACAGCTGCTCTGGAGGGGGACGCAATGCAGTGTCTTTGCCTCAGCTCTTTTGGCGGGAAGAGCAGGATCGAGCAGTCGCCATATTGCCACAGGCTCTCGGTGGGCTTGTTGCATCCTCTCCTCTCAGCCTCATGGCTTCACACTGTGCCAGGCACAGGGAAATGCCATCCCAGCACTGGGAAAGATTGGAGAAATAAAAACGTGTAGTTTAGCAAAAGTGAGATGGGGAGAGGAGGAGAGTAAATGCCTGTGAAGTGCTGGGAGGTACCGTTGGTGATGGTGGAGCCAGTCCTCTCAGAGGAGGAGCAGCCGTTAGCAGGCAGCCCCACAGGGTGAGAGAAGTCTGAGGAGGAGCAGAGCGCTGGGGGCACCACTGGTTTGCTGGCAGGTAACAGCATGCTCTGGAAGTAATTAGAGGTGAACCATAAAAAGCAAAGCAGAGGAAGGCCAAAAAACAAGCATTGGGGTTTTTGTTTCCTGAAGGAGACACAAGGACAACTTGGAGTTGGTTTAAAATTTCACGCTGCTGGCCTGGCTCTCTCTCATCTCATCCCATTAATGTTCTGCAACCTGTTGGGTGGAGTTGTGTTGCCTGTGTTACAGCAAATTTCTGGTGTTATTCTAATTTCCTTCATCAGGTGATTCATGTAGATACAGGTATTTTAAAAATATATCCTTTTTTTCAGAAAGAAAAAAAAAACAACCCTGAAATAGTCACTAGTCTTTGCACTCAACTAGCAACATAAAGTGATAAGGTGCATCCAAGTTTTGTCCTCTTTACTCTCTCCTTCTTTTACAGGTTTGCCATGGCTTTCCTCTGTGATTGAAGAATCCCTGCTGTGCATTTCCTCGTTGCAATTCAAAAAGGATATTCCGACCAGTTTGCTATCTGGAGCAGTGCAGAGAAGAGAAGGTAAAAAGGAAATTCGTGTGGTATTGGTTTCAGTTTGATAGCCCTGGAGTCTGAAACTGTTTTATAGCCCCAAGTCCAGAAAGTACATAGGTTTGTGCCTAACAAACTTCTTAAACACTTAGGAATGTAAAGATACGTATAAGTACTTGGACAAAAGCAATGCAGGTTTCCTTAGTCTGCTGATATAGAGCCTATGGATGTTATTATCTGTGGATCTGAGAATCCTTTCCTATTCCCATTAAACACCTTGATTTTTTGATATAATGAAAATTGCAGCCATGCCATTTTTGATCTGTTCACCTAAGGATGCAAAGTCTGCTTGCTGCCATCAAATTCAAAAGCACGTCTGCCACTGAGTTCAATAGCTACAGGATGGGCCCTGTTTTTTTTTTTCCCTGTCATTTTATTTTTTCTTTTTTGTTTCCACCCCAAAGGCTCTCTTTAAAGGGTAAAACCCACTGAAGATACAGGTCCTTCAGAATCAAACAGAATTAATGAATTTCTCAAGCTCGTTTTCTGAAGTAGATTTTTTTCCCTTCCTGCTTCCTGCCACAGTCACATCCTTTATTCAGTACCATGGAGGTACAGCTGCATAGTGGAGTATAATTCATGAGAAAGAAATGTGTGTGCTTGGGATTTAAAATAACACGCTCCTTAATTATATTTAATAGTGCCTTATCAATAGACTGATCAACTTGGGTGTTTGCCGTTCCTATTGATTATGATGCTCTGTAGCAGGCAGAGGCAGTAACTGCTGCTGCTGATGGAAAAGAAAAGGTACTGGAAGGAGGAGGGGAGAAGGAGGTGGGAGACGAGGGGATTGGCTGCTTGCAATGTCAATCACAGCTGCGGGGCCCGGCTCTTCCGCTGCTCTAGCCCTGGCTCTCCCTTGAACAGCTCCTAGAGAGAACAAGGCGTGCGGAGCCCAGATCACCAGCATCATGCTCCTTGGGCTTGGATCGTAGATCCCCCCTCTTTGAACATTAAAATAACTCCTTCGCACATCAGCGTCCCAGACAGACCCAGCGAGACAACAGGCACGTGAAAGAGAGTGAAAAGAAAGAGGAGGAAGAGAAAAATCTGCAACCAAGTGGACTAAAGCAAAAAGAAAGAGTGCTTTGCTTGCACAGCTGCAAAGTGGGAATTTAAAGAACTGCAGAGAGAAATTCCAGCTCATCAGCACATACACATTGCAGAATTACAGATCCAGGTAGAAATGACATCAACAGGGAAAGAAGGCAGCGGAGCTCAACATGCACAATATGTTGGACCCTATCGTTTGGAGAAAACCCTAGGAAAAGGACAGACAGGTTGGTTCCTTTGCAGCAGCACCCGCGCCAAGGGGAAGGTGCTGTAGCAGCCAGTGAGGTGTTGGGGATGGGGTATGTGAGGGATCAGGTTTTCCCGTTTGCCGATTTAATGAAGATAATATTCACAAAGGATTTTTTTTGCTTTGGTTTAAATATTCATGTTATTTTTTTCTCTTTAAAAAAAACCAAGATGCTTCATGTTCATTACTCCTTCTTATGGGTGGTGTTCTGGTGACGGAAGGAGTGCATGCAGAGGAAAAAATAGATGATGCTTGTGGTGGATTTTCACATCAATTTCTTCTCTGCCCTACTTAGAAGTCTTTTCTTTTTAATCAAATTATATTGAAATGGAAGGTTCACAGCCTGTAGTACCAAGGAGGTGGTGGTGGTGGTAGTGGGGGAGTCACCAGCAGTATTTCATGACATCATGATTGAAAAGGGTGTAGTCCTTAAGGTGCAGTTGGTGGTGGGAAATATATACAGTATATCTGTGGCACTGACTGCATTGGGCATTTACCAAATATGGATGGATGAGCTGGTGATTTTTTTGTGTAGCATCTGAAATAAAAGAAAAATAGAGGATCAGTAGCAGAATTCTGGTTATCCTATGTTTTTGTAGGAAGAATGAGGGGGAGGGGAGGTTATTTAATTATTTCTGTTAAAGCTTGTTTATGAACTCACCCCCAGCAGATCTGTTTGAATGGAACAATGGTAAGAAATATTAAAAAGAGGAAACAGAGTGGAGGGAATTAGCGGAGAGCAGGTGCTTCTGCCCTACATGACATAATTAGATCCTCTAAATGCGTTAAAGATCTGGACTTGCTGTTGCTTGCTTAGATAGCATATTCACTTCAAGGGCAGGGGATCCTTAATTGGAAGGAAAACCTCTAAAAGAAGCCCATATGACTATTCCTTTTTTTATTTTATTTCATTTTTTGTAGTAACAGGTGCAGTAAGCAATGGGATCTGGCAAATTCACTGGACTGGGGAGACCCCCTCCCCTCAAAGTGAATTGAGTCTTGAGATGATAATTCAGGGAAAGGGGAAATTAGTAATAGGGGGCTTCTTTGGGCATGTGGGTATTAAGTGTTGTTCATTACGGTGGGACAATAAAACATGATGCATTGTGGTGGGGTGGGTTTTTTTGTTGTTTTTGGTTTTGTGTGTGCGTGTGTGCTGTTTTTTCTTTTTTCTTTTTTTTTTTTAAACCAGCCGAGCTTTGCCCATCTGTTGTCTAAAGGTTTTAATAGGCGTTTCCATCCCCAGCTGCTGCCTCTGCTCTGCCTGCTTCCTCATTGCCCTGCGTGGCAGCAGCTCTGCAGTCCGCAATTTTCTTAGGGACACAGTCAAAATCCAGATCTTTCTCTGTAAGAAGCAATGCTCTTCTGAGATGATTGATTATAACCCCCCCCATCTTTCCCCTCCTCTTCACAACCCCATAGCAACCGTTCAGAGACAGGGATGGGGATGACATTGTCTTCCAGTGAAAGTGACTTTTATTTATATTTATATTTTTTAATCCTTTTCATTACATCAGCTGCTAAAGGTAGCTATCTGTCAGTGTTTTGGGTATCACCTTTATTTATTCTTTGCATGGCTCAATAAGCCCTTACTTGTGCAGCTGTATCCTTAGTAAAATCTGCTCTGATGATGAAAATACTCCACCAAAAAAATGCAGTATGTTGGTAATAAAACTATCCTATTTCTTTCGGTAATCTTTTTTTTCCTGGGTACTCCAGGTGATCAAAGATCCAGCTGTGGATGACAAATTCATTTTTGTCTTCATCACCACTTCCTTTTCTTTTTCTCACCCTCTCAGTACCCCTCCCTCTCATGTAAAACACAATTGTCTGATTCCTGAAAATACTACCGCATTAACCTTTCGCTCCAGATCTCATAGCCTGACGTTGTGGTCCTAAAGGGTTATCTGCAGCTTTGGTTATTTTTTTTCTTCTCTGCTAATCTTCCTATCTTCCTCCTAAGTGATTAGAGACAGGGGGGTGGAGGGAGGAGAGCATGCGTTTAGAAGCTGCTGTTGGCCTCTGCAGTTTCTCAACCACCTGGACAAGGGTGAAAGTTTCCTTTTGCAGTTTTACCACATAACTGATCTTAATAGATAAGTCTCTGCTGCCTGTGCACATGAGTGCGCATAAATGCACAATGCACGGTGTCATAGAAGCTGGAGGTGGTAAAGGAGGGAGGGGAAGAAGAGAAAGGCTTAAAAGTAGCTGATGTCAGCCTGTGTCTTCCTTGCCATACCTACTGTCGATCAACATAATAATGCACTGAGGTGAAATCTAGCTCAGTGTTAAACATACATGGCTGAATATGGAAAGATGCCTTCTGGTCTTCTCGCGTTTTCTGTGCTAATCACATTTGCTAGCATGCAGAATGCCATGAACAGTGTGTGCTATGTAGCTGGTCCTCATCCTGCTTGTTTTGAAGGGTAAGCAAGCAACCTGCAGCATTTCAGAGAGATGACAACAAGCGCAGTATGAGGGCCTCATTCACCATACTGTGTCGTCATGGTGTGTAAGTTTGAATTTGGGTTGCAGTGGCATACAGCTCAAGAAAAACAGTGACTGTAATTATTCCTTTAAAGCTTGACTTTAAAGCTTGGAAGATTAGGAGGTAATAGTAATATTTATTTTTTTCTGTGGGATGGGAAAGAGAAAAATTTTGCAAAATGTAATGGTCAGTGGAAAAAGTCTAAGTTGTGTTGCTAAATGTTACCCATTTTGCAGTGATCTTTGTACTCATCATTTCATTTTCTGTAAGATACTGATTATTTCAGATATGCAAGCTTTAGCTTTGCTCCCAGGTATATTAATATTATGCGAATCTGTTAATTACTCTAACCATCTTTTGCTTAGATCAAAAGAATAGTTTTTTGGAGTGGAGCATGGGTTTGTAATTCAAGGCAGACTTAGGGTGCTGCGGAAGGGTAATGTGATGGTAAACAGAATTATAACTAGCCTGCTCTCCATGAAGTTCTCGCTGATTATCATCTTAATAGCTGAGAAAAATGTTTATCACCAGCAGCTTACTGGTCTCCGCAAAGAGGTTCAGATGCTGCATCTCTGACATTAGTGGAACCTAATGACATCTGTCTGTGGTTAGGCAGACTGACGTGGAAAGGCCTTTAATTCAAATAGGTGGGTAACAACTGTTGTTTCAAGTGTTAATTAGAATTCAAAATAAGATACACAAAATTTGTCCTGAGTAGCATTCTGTGCTGGTGTCTCAAGCTTGCCGAGGGTGACTGATGCTACAAACAGAGGATGAAGACCTCTTATTTGGAGAAGTCAGAAAAGGACTGCGTGAGACAGAGCTGAAAGATGTATGTGCTTATGCCTTTGCTGGTAGCGGAAATGGTAGGGAGAAGATATGGGAAATTGTTTTGAATAACGTAGCATAAGAACTTATAACGTGAGTATTGGCATTAGATGGTCTTCGCTGGCCTGCTTGCTTTTGTAATAAGTTAAATGCTGAATATCTCCCTTGTTTTTTTTTTTTGCAGCTGGATGAATGGTTTTGTTGGAATAGAAGCAGCAGTGTAATTTGAATTATTATACTGCAAACACCTTATTTTACAGAAGTATTAGTGCAAAAGATTGTTTCTATTTATGTGATATGAGGGGAAAGGTTGGTTTATGTAAGTTTTTTTTACAGTTTTTTATGTAAGTTTTTTTTACAGTTAATTATAGGAGGTTTCCATTGTAATTAACAGTAATGAGAAAAAGGATGTGTGTCACGTTACAGTAATACACGTGGAAACAGTGCACCTTAAGAAATCCCAATCGCACCTAAACATGAAATACTGTTTTAGTTTTCCTAACTCAGACATTTTTTTCCACTTGCCATTCATTTTGTATTTTGTATATTCCTCTTATTGATTTTTGTTCCACTGGTATTTTGGCTGACGCGTTTTCTTTCTTCCCGTTAATCCCATTTCACCCTCAAAACTCTTTGAAGAGTGTCTGGATTGCAGCCGTTAGTAAATATTCACTATTGTCAGAGGTGAGGGACTCAAGAATTATTTCTTGTGAAGGACTGCAGAACTCCAGTATTTTCTTGTATTTTCGTTTGATATTGCTTTATGAACTTTGGCATCGTAGTTTGCTATGGCACCAAATCAATGCGCAGTCAATTTCCAAAACACTGTTCTGTCTACAAGTAATAAGAGACCAAGTCTACATGATTGTTACCCTATTAACTTTAAGATAATCTTCGTGAAAAAAACTAATGTTGCTGATCCTTATTGTTTTATGCCTTTCATTCATTTCAGAACAAAGAATACTGCTGAAATTCGTGTCACTTTGACCTTTGACAAAATGTAGGGGTCTTTTTTCTGTATTGTATGCTATGTGACTTACAGCCATTTCTTTTGTGTATGTCTTGTCTGTGTGAGCCATCAGCAAGGCGTTTAGCAGTATGCTGTTCAGTTATATAAGAGAGATCATTACGTTTGAGTCTCAGCAAATTCAGTAGTCTTTTATTCAGCGAGGCCTTGAACAGGATGTCTCTTTGCAGCCTTAACCACCTGTTTCTGTGACATCCTCAGAAACTGAAGTTTATTTTTTTGTGTATGTCAGACTTGGTTGCCATTGAAAGGTTCAAACCTATTGGAAGAGTGTTTTGTAGACAGTGATTTCAGAAGCCTGTTTTGTGTTGTTTTTATTTTTTTTTTTGTATCTGGCTAAACAAAGTGTATTCTTTTTGTCCATACTACTGTAAATGTATTTTTGTCCCGTTTGTTAGATACAGAGGGAATTCTAAAATAGTTCTGTGTTATTCAGCTTAGTTATCGAGATGAATATATGGTTATTGATGTGTAGTCATTGTGGTTCTCTCCATGGCCTTTTCTTAAAGTGCGTGTTCTGTTCATGTTTTCATCTATATTTCTGCTTTCCTTATGAGAATCACTTTCAAAATGGTAAATCTGCACCCTATTTTCATGATAGCCTGTGAGGACTTGATTGATTAATTAACAGCAATAC